CTGCTCCTGCTCCTGCTCCATTCCAGACACAGAGCTGGGCTGTCCCTGCTGCCTTCCCTGTGTCGCTATTGATGATTTTACCATCTGCCTCTAGCCACGGGCCGATACCTGACCAAGGAGTCCTTTTGCATGGCCCCATTGAATGGGGCGGGACCCTTTTCTAGCCCCGCCCCAGGCTGGGCTGAGCTGAGCTGGATCTTCAAGATGAGTGAGAAAATGTCAGTGACAAACTCCATTGGTCCAGAGCAGAATCCCACCTCGGATGTTACATGCTGGAGATCCGTGTCCGCTGTGCAGCGGGTCTGCTCCGGGATTTCCCAGCCGGCTGCATTAGGGTTAGCATTGGGGCCAGAACCTGGACTGGATTCCTGTGCCTCCCTGGAATGGACTGGGGGTCTCGGTGCCCCTTACTGTGGCTCCGGTTGCCGGCTGTGCTCTTGGCTCGCGCTGGGACAGGGTGGGGGAGCTGGGGCCCCGGGCTGTGTCCAGCCCATCAGACCTTTTAATCGGGCTCCGTGCAGCCCCCGCCCCAAGGGCCAGCTCTGCAGCTCCCATTGGCTGGGAGCTGCGGGGGCGGCCCCTGCAGACAGGCGGCACACGGAGCCAATGCCCTGTCACCGGGTAGGAGCCGGCTGGGGCATGTGCTGCCTGGAGCCTGCCCCGATTCCCGTCCTGCGCCCCATGCGGGGAGCGTTCATGGCCTGCACCCAGCGCCCATACTGAGACGTGGCCCTCAGGCCAAAAAGTTCACTCCCCTCCCCCCGTTCCGGTGGCTTAACCCCCCTGCTCTCCCTCCTGCCAGGTTCACGGACGCCCTCATCACCATCCGTAACCGGCACAATGACGTGGTGCCCACCATGGCACAGGGGGTGATCGAGTACAAGGAGACCTACGGGGACGACCCCGTGTCCAACCAGAACATCCAGTACTTCCTGGACCGCTTCTACCTTAGCCGCATCTCCATCCGCATGCTGATCAACCAGCACTGTGAGCGAGGGGCCGCCCGCCTGCTGCCCCGGCACTGGGGAGGGGCGAGAGCCTGCAGGGATAGACGGGGAAGGGAGGGCCTGCAGGGCTGTGGAATGAGGCCGGGGTCAGATGCTGTGGTGATGGGCACAGTACTGAGGATATACATGGGTGGACTCGAGGGGGAACAGACCCAGTGAGCGGGCGATTCCAGTAAGGGACTGGGGCCGCGGATGGGGCAGGAGAGAGCGAAACTGTCATGCCTGTTCTTGGTCCTCCTGGGGTCCCCGTCACCCTTGGACTCATATAGTTCAGTCTAGGTTGATGACCCCCCCCCCATGCACATCTCCCCTCTCCTCCACCTGCGGCACTCCCTGGGAGCTGAGACTCAAGTGCCACCCAGCTGATCAGCAGAGCGCCCATAGCCAGCAGCCTGTGTTCCTGTGGGTGGTGCACTGCTGCACATGCCTTGTGCACAGAACAAAATCTATTCTACACAGGGATGGGAAAAATTAGAGGGAGCACTGACTTCTGCTCCGTTTCTTTCCATGCAGCCCTGCTCTTCGACGGCAGCACCAATCCGGCTCACCCCAAGCACATCGGCAGCATCGACCCCCACTGTGACGTGTCGGAGGTGGTGAAAGGTCTGTGGGGTCCCTGGGGTGTCACTGGGGCCTCGGGGGAGGGGGCTAGCTGGCTCAGGGGATCAGCAGTCAGGTCACTGGTTCTGCTCCGGGCCAGACCAGCTGGGGCTGACGCCTTGGTGTGGGGCGTTCGGTGGCTCTTGGCTGAGAGCAGGCGCCAGAGAAGCCAGGCAGACACCGAGCTCTGGGCCCTAAGGGAGGTCTCTGCCGGGCAGGGCAGCCCGGGGCAAGTTCCCCTTCTGAATTGCTGGTCTGCCCCTCGCCGAGCCCTGCGCGTGTCCGGGGGCTGAGCTCTGCTCTCCAGGGCAGAGCCGGGGCTGACCCCACCCTCCCTTCTCCAGACGCCTACCACATGGCCAAGCTGCTGTGCGACCAGTACTACATGGCCTCGCCCGAGCTGGAGATCCAGGAGGTCAGCGGTGAGTAGAGGGACCCGGCAGCTGCGGAGGAGCTTTCGGGTCACAGGGCAGCTGGCTCTGGAAGGGGAGCCGGGCCCTGCCTGGGCCGGGCTGAGGAAGGCAGCTGCAGGACTCCGGGTGGCTGGAGTGCGGGGCAGAGGCGCGGAGGAAGGGCCTCTAGCCCGCTTTGCACAGCGGCTGCTTTGCTGAGGCCTTGGTAGCTGAAGGCCAAAGGCAGGAGGGGCCCCAGTGGTCTGTGGGGTCGGCCCTTGGACTGGGGGGTCAGGCACTTACCGCCGTGTGCTCTTTCCCCTGCAGCCGGCAGTCTCAAGCAGCCGATCCACATTGTCTACGTCCCGTCTCACCTCTACCACATGCTCTTTGAGCTCTTCAAGGTACAGCTCCGGCCCCCGGGGCCTTCCCCTGCAGCACTCCTTGCTCTGCATGGAGGGGACGGAGCCATGGTGGAATTTGGCGTCCGGTCTGCCCAGAGGTAGCTTTTCCACTCCTGCCTCTGGTGGCGGGTGAGGTAGAGGCAAGGAAGTATGTGTCAGCTTTTAATGGGCAGCAGGTTTAAAACAAACAAAAGGAAATATTTCTTCACACAGCACACAGTCAACCTGTGGAACTCCTTGCCAGAGGACATTGTGAAGGCCAGGATTTTAACAGGGTTCAGAAAAGAGCTAGCGACATTCATGGAGGACAGAGCCAGGCTGGGTAGGGAGGGTGTCTCTAGTCTCTGTTTGTCAGAGGCTGGGAATAGGCGACGGGAGGGATCCCTTGATGATCCCCTTTCTATTCACTCCCTTTGGGGCACTGTTGGAAGACGGGATCCTGGGCTAGATGGACCTGTGGTCTGACCGAGCCCGGCTGGTCTTGTCTTTTCTTCTGGTTACAAGGTGGGCAAAGGAAAGCAGTTCTCAGCCACAGTATTGTTAATCTGTGGAACTCATTTCTGCAGGATTTTTTGCTGAGGGAACTAGCTTAGTAAACATTTTGGAGAAGGAATTGACTAATGGTAAATCCAGGGGCACCAGTTAGGAAGAAGGCGACCATCAGGCCTCTGCTTCAGAGCATCTGCAGATCTCTTCTTACCCTTACACATACTGCTGCAACGAGGTGCACTGGTGGATTTTATGCCGTCCTCAGGCATTCCGGCTGGCATGGTGCCAGGCCAGAGGGGGTGACGGTCTGTCATCACCAAATCCCCCACGACCCGCGTCCTGTCTGTTCCCTCGTAGAATGCCATGCGAGCCACTGTGGAGAGCCACGAGTCCAGCCTCCGGCTCCCCGCCATCAAAGTGCTGGTAGCCCTGGGTAAAGAGGATCTTTCTATCAAGGTAGGTGGCCTGGCGGAGGGCCCCGAGGCTAACAAGGAGCCCTTCGCATCAGCTGTAAAAGGGGCCATGGCTAAGTGCCCGGGGAGCTGCTTGCATGCTGGGGGCCAGGCAGTGCCGCAGGGACACGGGGGCGTGTGCGCTAGGGGAGGGGAGGAGACTCCTGAATTCTGTTTGACCGACTTGCCGTCACCCTGGGACTGGGAGGGAGGCGTGTTGCCCTCCCCCCCACGCTGTCTGGCTTCCCTTTCCCCATGGGGCTCATACCAGAGTTTGCTTGAACCCTGAGGGTTTTCGCCCTGCTCCCCCTGGCCTCACTAGGGCATTTGCTCCAGCCAGGAAGGCTGCACAGAAGGCCCCGTCACGGCCTGTGGACGCTTCCTCTACGTCAGCCAGCAGCAGGTGCTACTGGGGTTTCTCCCCAAATGCATGGAGGGGCATTGGTCCCGGTACGCTGAGCACTTGGCAGGCCACCGAGGAGAGAGTCCAATGCCACCCAGCTGATTAGCAGAGCGCCCATAGCTGGGTGGTGCACGTGCCCCCATGCCTCCGTGCATAGAACAAAATTATCCCGCACATGGGTGGGAACGCTTAGAGGGCGCGTTGGTCCTCCGTGCATAGAACAAAATTATCCCGCACATGGGTGGGAACGCTTAGAGGGCGCGTTG